CCCCAAAGAAGGAACCCCTTTTTCCCCGCAAGTTGAGCTTCAACTTCCCATGGGAAGCCTTGGGAAAACCTGGGGCAAACTGCTGAACAATCAAGGAACACCGAGCCCCTCCCCAACGAAAGGGCTCCTTCCTCCTCCTCCTCCTCCTCCTCCTCCTCCTCCTCCTCCCTCCTCCTCCTCCTCCTCCCTCCCTCCTCCCTCCTCCCTCCTCCTCCTCCTCCTCCTCCTCCTCCTCCTCCTCCTCCTCCTCCTCCTCCTCCTCCTCCTCCTCCTCCTCCTCCTCCTCCTCCCCACGCCCCGACGGCAGCTGGAAGAGCGGAGGGAAGCCCCTCCTCGGAGCGGCCGTCCGCCCGAACGGCAGGCCCCCGGGGCCGCTCCGCCTGCCAGGGGGGAACGATCCCCGCCGGGCAGAAGAGCGCTTGCGGGGGCGCGTCCTCACACAGTCGAGGCCTTGACCTGAGGAGCCCTAAATGAGGAACGAGGCCCCTTTGTTTCCATACATGAAAACTTCGACTTCCCCTCGAAAACTTTAAGAAAAACCTCAGGCGAGGTGTGGAACCATTCAGGAACACCGAGCCCCTCCCCAACGCAAAAGGTTCCTTCTTCAACGCCCCGACTGTACGGGGGGGGGGGCGGCGGGACGGGAGCACGAGGTGCAACATCGCGAACGCATCCTGGGACTACCGTGGTCCACCTCCGGCGCTCACTCGAGGCAGCTCGGACTAGGACTCCGTCCGTGCAGGAAAAGAGGGCCACGGTCGAACCGTCAGCTCGCTGCCCGCTCCGCCTGGGCCCCTTGACCGCGGATGTCAAGAAAGACCCTGGTCCTCCTTAGGGAAACAAAAAAAGACATAAACATAAAAACTCGGAGGTCCGCGCGGACCTCCGAGTTGTTATGTTTATGTCACTTTTTGTTCCCCTGCTTCCCACCCCCCCTCATGGAGGGCTCAACAGAAAAATCGTCGGGGGGGCCCCGAGGTCTCCCGAGGTCCCCGGAGGCCCCCGTGAGGCCCCCGCGAGGCCTCTCGGGAGGCCCCAGGGAGGCCCAGAGACGCCACGTAGAAGAAGAAAGCTCGACGGATCCACCATGGCACGTCGGCGGACAGTGTCGGTGGTCTCCACCGTTTTGCTCAGAAACAGTAAAAAAATGGCTCGTCCTCTGGATGACGTAGAGCCGCCCTCCATCACCAATCCTCTACCAACGTCGACTTGTCACATGTGAATATGTATATAGATATGTGTATATATACATTATATATATATATATGTGTATATATATACACATATATATATACATGTAAATATATATATGGATATACAGATATATAGACATACATACATACATACATACATGCATGCATGCATACATGCATACATGCATACATACATTGATACATACATACATACATACATACATACATACATTACATTACATTACATTACATTACATTACATTACATTACATTACATTACATTACATTACATTACATTACATTACATTACATTACATTACATACATTACATTACATTGAGTTACATTACATTACATTACATTACATTACATTACATTACATTACATTACATTACATTACATTACATTACACTACATTACATTACATTACATTACATTACATTACTAGTTGCATCACATTAAATTTCCTTACATTTACACTACATTACATTACATTACATTACATTACATTACATTACATTACATTACATTACATTACATTACATTACATTACATTACATTACATTACATTACATGACATGACATGACATTACATTACATTACATTACATTACATTACATTACATTACATGTAGATTTACATTACAATACAATACATTACATTACATACATACATACAGACAGGCAGGCAGGCATACAGACAGACAGACAGACAGACACACATTACATTACATCGCATGGCATTACACTACATTACATCACATCATATCACATCACACTACATTACATTACATTAAATTACATTAAATTGCCATACATTACATTACATTACATTACATTACATTACATTACATCACATTACATTACATCACATCACATCACATCACATTACACTACATTACATTATTTTACACTACATTGCAGTACACTACATTACAATTACATTACATCACGTTACATTACATTACATTACAATTACAATTACAACTACAAATACAATTCATTACGTTACACTGCATTACATTACAGTACCTTACCTTACATTACATTACATTACAGTACAGTACAGTACATTACGTTACATTACATTACAATATAAAAAAAGGACACAAAGATCCCGCCATCGGGCTCATGATATCGTCTTTCCATAGCCCTTCGGTTCCAAAATGAGCCACTGCTTCTTTGATGCCTCATGGGAAGCGGTATGGCCAAGTAGGCGTTTTCATATTCTGGGTTTCGAAGGGTCGGGGGGGGGGTCTGGGTCTTGGTCGGTGCTTAGCTCATCTGCTTCTACAAGTCGCGCAATCAGACTGGGTGGATGGGTCCTGACCAGTCGCCAAAAACAGCCTCCCACGGCAGCCAAGATCAAGAGGCGGATGTGGAGGAGGATGCGGAGGAGGAGGATATTAGCACAACGAATATGCATAAATCTAATAATAAGAAGACTAATACGAACACGAAAATAAATATACGAAAAACAACAAGACTACATCTCATACACCTACTAATCGGGTAAACGGATACGATGGCTAACCATATTACGATACAAATGCAACAAATACTCATCCTAATACGGTTCATAGGACTACTTAAGAGAACACTACGACGAAGCATACGTACGACGAATACTCATGATCCGGCGATTACTGGGGCTAGAAAGAAGACTACCACTAGTACAAATGCTCTTAACATTGAGAATACGAAGAATAATAAGACGAACGCGACGCACACTACTACTACTACTACTACTACTACTACTACTACTACTACTACTACTACTACTACTACTACTACTACTACTACTACTACTACTACTACTACTACTACTACTACTACTACTACTACTACTACTACTACTACTACTACTACTACTACTACTACTACTACTACTACTACTACTACTACTACTACTACTACTACTACTACTACTACTACTACTACTACTACTACTACTACTACTACTACTACTACTACTACTACTACTACTACTACAACTACTACAACTACTACTGCTAAGAAAACGACTCCTACCGCCATTACTAATACTGATGATGCGGATGGTACTCATACTAATATTAATACTGGTACTGCCAATGCCAATACTCATAACTCTGATAATACTAAGATTCATGATACGAAGGAGAGGAGCAGGAGGATGAGGAGGACGATACTGGCAAAGAGGATGACGCCGACGATGCTGCTGCTGATAACGATGATGCTAATGCTGATGATGACGATGATGCTGCTAATGATGATGGTGATGATAACGATGATGATGATGATGATGATGATGATGGTTACGCTGTTGATGCTGCTGAGGCGGATGACGATGATTATGCTGATTCGGATGATGATGTTGATTATGATGTTGCTGATGATGATACTGCTGTCGATGACGATGATGATGCTATTGATGCTGGTGCGGCTGATGATGCTGATGATGCTGATGCGGAAGATGAAGATGATGATGATGATGCTGATGCTGATGACGATGATGGTGGTGGTGATGATGTTGCTGCTGGTGATGCTGGAGATGAAGTTGATGATACTTATGATGACGATAATGATGATGATGATGCTGCTGCGGCTGATGATGCTGATCATGTATAGGATGATGATGGTGATGATCCTGATGATGATGATGATGATGATGATGGTGGTAAGGCTGGTGATGCTGATGCTGATGATCCGAATGCTGATAACAACGATGCTGATTATGCTGATGATGATGCTAATGATGATGATGACGATGATGATGATGATGATGATGATGATGACGATGCTGATGGTGATGCTGATGCTGATGCTGATGCTGATGGTGCTGATGATGATGATGATGAAACTGATGCGGATGATGATGCTTATGATGATGCTGATGATGATGTTGATGATGCTGATGCTGCTGGTGATGATGATGATAATGGTGCTTCTGCTGCAGATGATGCTGCTGATGCTGATGGTGACGATAATGCTGATGATGATGCAGAAAAAGAAGATGATGATGATGATGATGATAATGACGATGGTGATGATGATGATGATCATGATGACTCTGATGTTGATGATGATGAGGGGGAAAAAAAGGGAAGGAGAAGGAGGAGGGGGGGGTGGAGGAGGAGGATGAAGAGGAGCAGTAGGAAGAGGAGCAAGATGTGGAGGGGGGAGATGAGGAGGAGCAGGAGGAGGAGGAAGAGGAGGATGATGATGCTGCTGATGATGATGATGGTGCTGAGGATGATGATGATGATGGTGATGATGATGATGTTGCTGGTCATGATGATGATGCTGATGATGAGGATGATGATGATGGTGATGGTGATGATGATGCTGATGATGATGCTGATGCTGATGCTGATGCGGCTAGTGATGATGCTGATGATGATGCTGATGATGGTGCTGACGATGCTGCCGATGATGATGCGGATGATGCGGATGATGATGATGATGCTGATGATGCTGATGATGGTGATGATGATGATGATGTGATGTGATGATGACGCTACTGATGATAATGATGATGATGATGATTATGATGATAATGATGATGATGAGGTGGTGGAGGAGGAGGGGGAGAAGAAGGATGGGGAGGAGGAGGAGGAGGTGGAGAGGAGGAGGCGGAGGAGGAGGAGGGAGTAGCAGGAGGAGGAGGAGTCGGATGATGATGATGACGAGGGGGAGGAGGTGGAGGAGGAGGAAGGTAAGGAGGAGGGAGAGGAAGCGGAGGAGAGGAGGATGAGGAGGATGAGGAATAGAAGAGGGAGGATAAGCAGGAGAAGGAGCAAGAGGAGGAGGGTGAGGAGGAAGAGGAAGTAGAGGAGGAGGAGGAGGAGGAGGAAGGGGAGAAATACAATGATGATGACGATGGTGATGATGCTGATGATGCTGATGATGATGATGGTGATGATGGTGATGGTGATGGTGATGGCGATGGTGATGGCGATGCTGATCATGATTATCATGATGATGATGCTGATGATGATGACGATGAGTATTGATGATGATGATTAGGATGAGGATGAGAATCAGGACGAGGATGAGGATGATGATGATGGTGATAATGATGATGGTGGTTATGGTGATGATGATGATGATGGTGGTGATGCTGATGCTGATGCTGATGATGATGCTGATGCTGATGTTGATGATGATGATGATGCTGATGATGATGCTGATGCTGATGCTGATGTTGATGATGATGCTGATGATGATGCTGATGCTGATGCTCATGATGATGATGCTGATCATGATGATCATGATGATGGGGATGCTGCTGGTGATGACGATGCTGATGATGCTGATGATGCTGATGATGATGACGATGGGGATGATGATGATGATGATGATGATGTGGACGACTCCGTGGCCAGATGATTCTTTTTGCGCAAGAGGGCGCCAGGCGAGGACACGAACTCCGACGCCGCAGGGGCCAGCACCAGGCCAAATAAACATTCCTGAGTAGGGAGAAAAGGGGGGGGGGAGACTTGAGAATGGAAGCGCGCCCCGAAAGAGAGCCACAAATAGCCGCGGGCAGCATAATGTGGACGACTCCGTGGCCAGATGATTCTTTTTGCGCAAGAGGGCGCCAGGCGAGGACACGAACTCTGATGCCGCAGGGGCCAGCACCAGGTACTATGGCTAGTCCAAGACACTGGCTGAAAGCCGCAAAACTTAAATGAATTCCCACACACATCTAATTAGTCGGGAGACGTATCGTAGGCTATCGACACTGTTGGCCATCATTTCACATGCGAATCGTAGGATACAGGCAGGAGGGTGGCGCGCAGCGCTGCGCAATTGACGGTCTAACGATGGGATGCCTAACTCGCCGAGATGCCGTTTTCGAGTGCGACGGCACGGCGAGGCAACAGGTGAACAGGTCAGGGATAGCCGATCAATATCTTTCACGCTCCAGCTTACAAGTCGAAATCTGTTTTTGGCACGGCCAGCGTACATGCATGAGTCGAAAACTGTCGAGGACGAACTCTGGTTCGCCAGAGTGGCGCACGCACTGCCGCCCCATATGAAAGACGCGTCGGGATGGCACAATATGGCGGGCACTTTCTTATAACAGCATTCAGACAGGACGCGCAAGTACTGATCCTGAAAGAGGTTGGCGATGCGAACAGATCGAGCTTTAAAGTTGGTCAAGGTCGGGAGGCCGCGAGGATGCAGCTTAGAACGCACAGCAGGCGACTGACGAAGCCGGGTGGCGGTGTCGGGTTCCACCCACACGCACGAGAGGCAGCTAGAACGAATCCAACCTAAAACGCGCCGCATCACTCCGGGATCGGCGGTGTCGCCGCCTGCGCGGCGACTCGGGTCGAGGTGCACGACGCCGAAGCCAACCGCTGCAAGGCGCGGGCCGCGCCACCGTCGCTGCCGAGCACCAGCGCAGGGCAGCACCTGCTTCGCGTAGAAGCCCGCCTGGCAGAGCGCCACAGGCGCGTCAGGCGAAGGTCCACCGCGCAAAGATCTGCGGGGGCGGCGGCCTGACAGCAGGCGGCGTCGGCGTCACGGCCAGCGGCACCTGCAGCGGGAAGACGCCCGAGGCCGTGGTCTGGATGATGAGGTCGTTCATCTGCCTGTCCACCTGCTCGCCGAATTCGACGATGTTCTGGCCTAGGTTGGCGATCCGCTGCTGCATGCGGGCCCGCTTCGCGTCGCGGAGGAGGCTCTGGTCCGTCCTCCAGCGGCCGCGGTCCTTGACCTCCTTCCTCGTGCGCCTGAGCGACAGCAGGTCGTCGGACGCACCCCCATGACGAAGCGGGTAGAGAGTCAACTCGGCCCCCAGGCCGAGGGCAGCTGCCGCTCGACGGAACATGCTCCGCACCTCGTCGGGGGCGAAGGTCCAAAGGCCGTCGATCGGGCCCTTGCCGTGCACCAGGGCCTCCAGGAGCGGCCAGATGGTCTGGTTGTCGACAATCACGCTCTCGTCCATCTCGCTTGTCTTGCCAGGGCGGTCGAAGCAGGCGTCGTTGACGATCAAGGCCCAGTGGCCGTATCCCAGGGCGCCGTCGGGTCGAGGTCGCATCACGCCCCCCGCCGCGAGGCGGCATGCCTCGCTTGGCCTCAGGTAGGTGTCGAACATCAGCCTGATGAACACAGCCATGCCGAAGAGCTTCCACGAGATCAGGACGCCCACGATGGACGCCATCGCCGCTCGAGGCAGAGGGAGTCGCATCTGTGGGGGAACGAGCTTCCGCCAGCCTGCCAAGGCGCGAGCCGCCCGTGGGCACGGAGCCCTGCCAACGAGGATCGCGGGCAGGTAGTGCTTCAGAGAGGCCATGAGTACACGGCCCGTGGCACTGTCGAAGCCGTCCAGAAAGAGGTTCACGAAGTAGGCAACTAGGATGGCATCGACCTCCGCTGCCGTGGAGAACGTCTGGGACGTCCAGCGGCACCACTCCTCGAACTTCTTGGCGGCGCCCCAGTAGTTGGCCATGGTCGTGTCCGACACGGCGGCTGACTCCAGCACCGACAGGGCCCCTCGGGCGAGCAGCACTGGCCCAGGATGGGTCCTGGTCCTCTGCCCCGTCAGGGTCGTGGCCCGCTGCCGTCGAGGTTCGGGATGCATTCGCTTGGTGCTCCTCGAAGGTCGGCCCGACGAAGAAGCCTGTCCTGGACGGCGAGTCCGCGACATTGCTCTCGCTGGGGATCCACCGAATGGCGCAGCGGATGCCCGAGGCCGCCGACAGGGCGCATAGACGGCGTAGAGGGTCGCGAAGGCCTCGGGCGCCAGAACGGCCCTTGCCAGCGGCAAGTGCTAGAGCCAAATTGTCGACGGTGAACAAGATGCGATGATGACGAAGCCGCCCAGACCGAGCCGAATGTCGCATCGCAAACCCGAGAGCATCCGCCTCGTATCGCATAATGTCCAAGCCGAACCTCGAGTGACGCGAACTGTGTATCGTGGCCCAGCCGTCGAAAGCCGTGATCGAGTCGGGAACTTCGTCGAAGCCGTCGAGGGAAGCAGCGTCAGCTGGTTGATGTAACGATGATGCCGTAGACGGAGGGCCCCCGGGGATCTTGGGAGGCCTCGGACTGTGGCTGCATTCTTCGAGGCAATTCTTGTCCACGGCAGTTTCTAACACAATGCGAGGCTCGATCCCGAGAGCGCGCGCACGGGCGTGCACGGCGTCGGAGAACCGATAGCGCCATCTGTCAGACAAGCGCCCAGCGGCCGCGGCGACCTCCTGGTCGACGGTCTTGCGGCAGACCCCGATGCCGTAGGGGGAGGCGTCGCTGCAGAAGGTAGTCGCCGACCACTCTGCTCTGACGTCGGCCCACCATAGCGGTATGAGGGTGGCTGCCGCGCGCAACTCTGCGATGACCGACGGCCACAGCGGCGCGGCCACTCGGGAGTCCAGGCCCATGAAGCGGTAGACCGAGTTGAAGATCGACAGCATGGGTCTATTGGAGATCATACCCCAAGCACAGTGACCCACCACTGCTGACAAGGCCAGAGGCGATGCAAAGCCACGCCTAAGTAGACCAAGAAGGGCTTGACGCAACCGGCAGAGCCTGTCGATCTTACACCGGACGATGCCGACGTCGCCGAGGATGTCCAAGCCAGTGAAGACCACGCGCTTGGCCGCGGGGGCGAACTCGTCGACGGGCAGACCCCTCGACACGAGCACGTCGCGCATGGCCTGGCAGGCCGTCGTGGCCACATCAGGGTCGAGAGACACGGTGGCAAAGTTGTATACGTAGCCCGCGCCGATGACGTCGGAGTCCTTCCGCAGCGGAGGGATGGCAGCGCCGTCCACCAGCACGAAGCTCTCGTCGATTCCCGAGTCGAGGATGGCCGTGGTCAGGGCGGACTGGCAGAAGTGGAGGGCCCACGACCAGTCCATCGGCATGACGGAGACGAACGGCTGCAGGAAGGAGTCCGTCCCGATGTTCACGCCGTTGAGCCGCTCGAAGCCCAAGTATCGATTCGGGATGACGGGCAGGGAAAAATATCGATGTAGATGTGGCGGTAACTTCATATGGTAAAATGCGCACTGTATGTCGCCCTGGGCCACGTAGAACTCGCGGTCGGCCTCGAGTGCGCTCCATGCCGACGGAGTCGGCATTCTCGTAGAAGGAGGGGCCGAGAAGGACATGTTGGCTACCCGCGTGTCGAAGACGAGCCGCAAGTTGACGCCGTTGGACTTCTCGACGAAGAAAAACCCAGTAGAGTAGGTAGCCTGACGTTCGGCGACCTCCCACTCAAGCATGCCAGCCTGATCCAGGCGCGGCAGAAAATCAGCATACTCCCGAGGCCGAAATCGAAGACGTGGATCCACATAGGGCGACCCCAGTCCCGAGTCCTTCCTGAGTGCAGCTGCATCAGCAGGGCCACGTAGCATTTGATGCCTGCACCCTGACAACGTAGAACGATCAGCTTCAGAAACGAGGTCGGCCGTCGGGACAGGCGCCACGTGCTTCGGCCAGGAGACGAGCTCCTTGTTGTAGGGTCTTACCCGAGACTCTCCAGAGTACCCAGGCGCCGATGCGAGCAACTCTCCGAGGGCTGCCTCGCATCTAAGAGGAAATTCGGAATATCCAGGAGGTAATTCAAAATCGCGATACTGTTGAGCAAGATACTCCTCAGCGTCACTACGAGCCCGCGGAGGAAGACCAGGAGGCGGGCTGATCACATCGTTCGGGTCGCAGTGGTACATGTCGTTGAGAGTGGACACCGCGTCGTTGTACCACTCACGCCAGGCAGCACCCCTGGCAGCCCGTCCGCGGGCCGACCCGCCCATGGATGAAGTGCCCGATCTTCGCTCCACCGGAATAGGGTGGAGGGGAAAAACGTCTCGCTGTCGAGGAAGTTTTGCAGCGAGGGGGCAATGAGCCTGGCTGGCGCCACTGCGGCGCGCCCCACAGCCAGGCCTGAAGTTCTCAGGCGTCATGGCGCCCGCAAGGCCCGCTCCTCGCGAGCCTTGCGGCGCTCTTTGCTGATGGCGGCCTCCGCCTTCATCTGGTCTGCGATGTACTCCAGCAACTTCGGCGAGATGCAGAGATTGGCCTTGGAGACGCCTGCGCCGAGGAAGTAGCTGGTCTCGGGCATGCTGGAGGCCCCAGCTGCGGCGCCGCCTCTGGCAGCGGCCTTGGCCTTGGGGGCTGCGCCGCTCGGAGGTGCCGATCGCGTCTCGTACACCCGCTCCTCCAGGAGCTGGAGCTGGCGAGCGACGATCTCGAACGATGCCATCTCGGCGATCTGCAGCTGGTCGCACACGACGGCGATGTCCAAGACGCGGCAGAGGGTCTCGTGGAGCTTCGCGTACTCGTCCTCGTCGGACAACGCCATCGACGTAAGCCACCTCTGATGCCACGCCGTAGGCGTACCCGCCATCGTCGACATGAAGGACAGGCACCAGAGAAGGGTCCTCGGCCCTTGCACAGGCCAGCCCTGCACGGCCGTCTCCGAGAGGGCGTTGACGGTCTCGCCGAACGTCCTCTCGCGCTCGCCCCGCGGGTTGAGCAGCATCGGGAGGATCCTGAAGTCGCCGACGGGGGCGGGCGCCGCAGGGGCGGCGGCGGGAAGCGCAGCCGCCACTCCGGGTGCTGGCACCAGCGGCAAGGCCCCCGCGGGGCCAGGCGGGACGGCTCCCAGCGCGGCGGCCAGCGCAGCGACGCCAGGGGCGACGCCGAGAGGGGCCGCCGCAGCGGCCGCTGCCGCGGGAGGTAGCGCCAGCGGGGCCGCAGCCCCCGCGGGCGGCGCCGCACCTCCCACGCCAGGTGGTGGCGGCAGGGCCGCAGGCGGCAGGGCGGCCGCAGCCGCAGGGTCCGCCAGCGGGAAGGGACCAGGCAGGGCGCCTGCCACGTTGCCCGCCGCGAGCGCCAGCTCCAGCGGGTCGGCGGGTCTCGGGTAGCCCGCGGCCACCGAGCGTGCGACAGCCGCCCACAGCTCCGCGGCCGTCGGGAGGCGGCGGAAGCGGTGTACCGCGGCGCCCGCCAGGGCTGGCGGCGTGTCGCCCTGGCCCGCGAGCTGCAGGAACGCTCGCACGTCGGGGCCGACGATGATGGGCCCGTCGTAGTCGTCGAAGTCGGGAGTGAGGATGTAGGCAAGGCCCCCGTTGACGCCAAGCGCGAGGCGCTCGTGCCACAGGGGCACGCCGCCAACGCGGTAGCGCAACACGTGGAAGCTGCCCGCCATCACTGCAGCGCTGGGGCGCGGGCTCGGGCGTCGCGCACCTGCTGCGCCGCGAGAGCGTCGATGTCGATGCCGTCCGCGATCTCCGCCACGGCGGGCGGCTGGTGGGCAGGCTGCCCGAGGAGCCGCCGCGCAGCCCAGGCGCCTCCCACGGCCCCGACGGCGAGGCCGACGGTCAGCGCGGCCACCGAGTAGGCCGTGACGAGGCCCAGGCACGAGGGCTCGACCACGTGCCCGCCCGCGCCTGCGCAGACGCAGCAGGGGCAGGAGAAGGTTGGGGGCGCGGGGCAGGCCAGCTGCGGCGAGCAGGCCCCGCAGCTGGGCGCGGCGGCCCGCGCCACGACCGTGGCCCCCAGCGCCTGCGCCCCGTACCTCAGGACGTCCGCCGAATGGTGGGCGATGTCTTGCATAACTGAGCAAGACACCTGAGAGACTTGAGAATGGAAGCGCGGCCCGAAAGAGAGCCACAAATAGTCGCGGGCAGCATAATGATGATGATGATGATGATGATTATGATGATGATGATGATGATGATGATGATGATGATGATGATGATGATGATGATGATGATGATGATGATGATGATGATGATGATGATGATGATGATGATGATGATGATGATGATGATGATGATGATGATGATGATGATGATGATGATGATGATGATGATGATGATGATGATGATGATGATGATGGAGGAGGAGGAGGAGGAGGAGGAGGAGGAGGGGGAGGATAGTTCTGCTCTTCCCTCGGGATGGGGAGAGCCGCGACCATGGCGCCAAGCGCCGACGGGGCGACGCGGGAGGAGGCGAGTCGGAAGGTCCCAGCGCGCTTCCGCCAGTGGCCCGCGCCCTAGCCCATGGCGGGAGGATGGAGGATCCAGGATGGAGGATCGATGGTGGATCGAGGTTGGAATGAGGATTGATCGAGGATGGAGGACGAAGGATGGATCGAGGACGGATCGGGGCCGAAGGATCGAGGATGGAGGATCGAGAGTTGAGTTTCTGGCTGGGTGTCATCGGCCCTCCAGCCACACTTCTTGACGGGGCCTCTCCGTCCCCCTCGGCGGCGCGCCGAGGGGGAAGCGAGAGGTGGCAGACCTTCTCCGAAGGCGGCGGGGCTTCTCGGAAGCCCTCTGGCCTCCCGAGAGGCCGTCCCCGTCTTCGGCGGAGCCTCAGCCATTCTGAGACGGCCCGCCCCCCCATGCCTTCCTCCGTGGGCGTGCCGCGGTGTGTCTCTTGGGGGGAGCCTGGAGAGCCTCTTGGGGCCCACTGGAGGCCTCCGGAGACCTCGGGAGACCTCGGAGCTGGAGGACGCAAGCGTACGGAAGTCTGAGAGCAACGCGGAACAAATTTAGTGAGCACGCGCCAAATCCATGCCGGCGTTTTTTCATTTGTTGTTTCGCCGACTGGCGCAGGCCCCCGCCCCGCCCCTCCTCCTCGTCCTCCTCCTGGGGGGGAAGGGAGGGGGAGTCTGCAGAAGGAGGGGGGAGGGGGGAGGAGGAGGAGGAGGAGGAGGAGGAGGAGGAGGAGGAGGAGAGAGGAGGAGGGAGGAGGAGGAGGAGGATAGGAGGAGGAGAGGAGGAGGAGGGGGGGGGAGGAGAAGGAGGAGGGGAGGACGAGGAGGAGGAGGACGAGGAGGAGAGGAGAGGAGAGGAGGAGGAGGGAGGAGGAGGAGGAGGAGGAGGAGGAGGAGGAGGAGGAGGAGGGAGGAGGAGGAGGAGCAGGATGAGGAGGAGGACACGACGGGGGGGGAGGGGGGGAGGAGGACGACCCCACCCCGCAGGCGGCCGTCGGCCTCGTCCACCCTGGACGCGCCGCCGAAGGCCGCGCAGGCGAAGCCACCAGCCTGCGGGCACCGCGCGGCGCCGCCAGAGAGCAACAGACAACGAACTACCCTGGCAAAGCACCCGACTTGGCGGCGCGCACAAGCGGGGTTCTCGCTGTTATCGTTATCGTTGTCGTTGTTATCGTTGTGATCGTTGTGATCGTTGTTGTGGTCAATATCGTTATTATCGTTATTATCGTTGTTATCGTCGTTATCGTTGTTATCGTTGTTGACGTTGGTGCCGCTGCTATCGTTGTTTTATGTCTTATCGTTGTCGTTATCGTTGCTATCGTTGCTATCGATATCATCGATGCTATCGTTGCGGGAGAGGGGGAAGGCTTCTAAGAAGGAAGCTGCTTCTTGGAGAAGGAGGCCCTGCATATACAGACAAGGCCCGCGCCCTCTGAGAAGCAGGGGTGTCTCTTTGAAGCCTTCCCCCCTCCTCCGTCCCCACATTCCTGCGCGTGGCCGGCCTACGGCGTGCGCTGCAAGGATAACGCTCAGCACCGATCTCTGGAGACCACGCTGTGCCTGCGAGGCGATCCCCCCGCGAGGGGGCCCTTCTGCGCACGCGCTCCTCCTGCGAAGGCCTCGGCGAGGCACGAAATCCAGTTGCTTGTCCCCCTGCCAGCCAGGGTCCCGTCGGTGCACGCTACCACCGAGGAAAAAAACAGCGCGTACTGAGCGGGCCAGCGCCGCCCCATCGCCCACTCCCTTCTGCGACGCCAGTCGCAGCAGCAGCAGAGGTGACGTGTGGGGCCTGTGGGGTAGGTATCCTCTTCCCCCACCTCCCCCACCTCCCCCACCTCCTCCTCCTCCTCCTCCTCCTCCTCCTCCTCCTCCTCCTCCTCCTCCTCCTCCTCCTCCTCCTCCTCCTCCTCCTCCTCCTCCTCCTGTGCGATCTGTCAGGCCTGTGGGACCTGTGGGACCTGGAGGACCTCTGCGGCCCGTGGGGCTTCCGGAACCTGTGGGACCCATGGGACCGATGGGACCCGTGGGACCTGGGAGGCCTGTGGGACGATGGCGCGGAGGCTGGGCCGCAGCAGAGTAGGTGCGCTTCAACTGAAACTGTCTTATCCCCATTGGCGTTGCATGCAAGAGAACGGATGCAGACCGTCTCTGCGATTTGCATATGGGATTTCGCACCGTCGCGCATGCACGGAAGTCTGTACCCGAGCCTGCAGGTTTCCGCCAGATTTGTGCGGACCCTCCCCCACACCTGCTCTGGCCACCCGTAAGGCACGCCACCACGAGACGAATCTGCCTCAACATTAAGTCGGACATGTCCCTCTACAGGGGGAACCTTCAAAAATAGTCTAAAAATAGTCTGGGAACTATTTTTTGAGTATTTGGGGGCATCTTTTGAGTATTGTTTGAGTATTTTTCATTTTTCGTAGAAAATCCCCCTGTAGGGGGACACGCCCGACTTAACCCCAACACGAGTTTGCGAAGCAAGACCCACATACAAGAACCCTGACCCGACCGATGCAAACACCGCAGACTCGGGACTCTGAAGTGACTGTTGGAACCACTGCCCGCCTCCGGAGGCTAATGAGAGACTGCACCGCGCACTGCTGAGGCGAGGGACCGCCTGCATCTGTGAGCGGACGAGGCTTGCGGGGCGCATCCGCGTGAAGGCGCGCCACAGCCGGTAAGACCGAGTGTGCCTGTTTGCAGCGGGAGGCCTTCCGAGGACACAGCAAGCTCCTGCAACAGCGCCAGGCACCCCAGAGGAGCTCGACATCAGCATCGCGTCGGCGACATGTTTGCGAAGACAGGACCAGACGATCATCAGATACGACAGAAAACAAAAAAACGTTGCTTGCACGAAATGTATG